GAAAAGAGTCTTTGGTTCACTGCTCTATTCCCATTGCATGGAATAGTACCTAACATGTAGTAGGTACTCTGTAATTATTTATTGATATTAAATATTGAAAGCTATATTACAGTGGTCTTTATATATTCTTGGTTCCCTCATAATTCTAAATTCTTTTGTGATAGGTATCATTTCTTAGGTTTTCTTTTTTATCTTCAGCTTCTAGCACAGTTCTTAGAATAGGTCTTCAGGAGATATCTTCACCAAGAGGTTTTTTTTTTTTTTTTTTTTTTTTTTTAATACTGTATCACCTTATCATTTTGCTGCATGTTTCATTTCCCCAGTGACTTTTAGCGTTACTCCTAGGTTCGTAATTTAGACCAGTAATATCTGTAGTTGGACCTTAGGTCTTATTAATTAAAAATATTCTACAATTTTTTTTGTTTGCTTTTAAGGAAAAAATTAACCCCCAACAGTGGCATTTATCAGAATTTAAATAAAAATATTTGTGATTGTTTGGCCCAGATAAGGAAATATTAATAAAAGTTTATTTACAAAGGTAAATCAGTTACTTGCTTTTTGATAGGTACTTTAGGTAGTGAACACATTTAAACAAAATTTACTAAATTTTTATATTGAACTGGTAGGTAAAAGAGTAGTGATTCTCAACAGAGTAAACAGGAATTCAGTTTCACTGTATTGAGCAGTAGTTCAGATCAGTGCTACTGATACGAAGCAGGTATCACTTATTGATTATTTTTGTGTGCAAGGTGACTGCTATCAGTGACTCATAATAAAAATTACCTTTTATTATTTATTTAATTTATTGAGCACATATTATCTGCCAGGCACTGTTCAGATTCTGAGCATATAGCAATAAGAAAACAACAAATTCCTTTCCTTGTGTGATCAGCCTCACAATTTGTCATGTAGATGTTACTGCTTCTATTTTACCTTCAAGGAAGGTGAAGCTCTGAAAGGTTTCATGATTTGCCCAGGGTTACACAAAGCCAGAATTTAAAACTTAGATTCTGTGCTGTACCCTGAATTTTTTTTGTCTACATTTGTGGTCTTGAAAGAGAACAATTATTCTCAGTATCTCAAACAGTAGTTACTGCAAATCCTTTTGAAAATTTTATATTATGTCTCTCTCCATCTTAAATTGTGCATGGTATTTTACACAAGTCACAGATGACAAATTTTCATTCATGATCTTCAAGTTAAGAACATTTGAACAGTACAGTCATGTTCAGAGCTCGTAAATACACGGGTACCACCACCCTTCTCCTCCACCTCACCCCCCACAAGTAAGTGAAAGACATTGCTTACTGAGCAGAGTTGTCCTTCTGCTACGACTAGATGCAACCACACAAACCTTCTGAAATCAGAACTGCTAACAGCCATTGCTAGTAATTGTAAGTTGCCAATAAAATCTATTGATACACTAGTCTTAGATTGTTTAAACAATTTCTCAGGGCTGGTGTAGTGGGAAAGCAAAGATTTGAAAAAAACAGATATTTGTTCAAATCTTGGCTATTGTTTTTTTGTTTGTTTGTTTGTTTTTAAGGAAAAAATTAACCCCCTGGCAGTGGCATTTATCAGAATTTAAATAAAAATATTTGTGGTTGTTTGGTCCAGATAAGGAAATATTAATAAAGTTTAAGAAAGACAATTATTATACTCAGTTGCAGTGTCCTCTTGGCACTGTTCCTTGTTAAAGGTTTTATTGGTGAGTTAGATGTGTTTTGTCAGTATATGTTTTTAGATTTAAAATTTTTATTGCTGACCTTAAATTGTCTGTGATCATTAGGTTCTGAGGTAAAAATTTTTCTGGGTTGAGTTATTAAAGTAAATTGATTAACATTATTCCTAATACTCCAAAACTGGAAACAATCCAGATGTCCATCACCTAGTGAATAGATAAAGAAAATGTGGTATATCCTTAGAATTGACATACTTTTATCAGTAATAAAAAGTAAAAAATTAATAATGGAAGCAATAATATGGATGAAGATCAAAAACATGCTCAGTAGAATAATACAAACACAAAAGACTATTTTAAAGTTTCTTTAAAAAGACAAATCTATAGAGACAAAAAGTAGATCATTGGATGCATGGAGGTAAGAGTAGAAATTGACTATGTATGACCACAGAGAAAGCTTCTGGGGTGATGGACGTGTCCTAAAACTAGTTATGGTGGTTGCACAACTGTATTAATTTTCTGAAACTCATAAGCATAAACATTTGATTGCATCTATATATATTTATTACCATTTTAAAATATATTGAATGTACAAAGTGAAAAATTATGGTCATTGCATTTCTTAAGATTGTTGGGACGCCAGTTCCTTCATTTATCCATGAAGAAATGTTACTTGTTGATCAAATGAATCAGGAATCATCCTGAATTGTTTTGCTGTTTTTAATTTTTATGGGTGTAAACATAATGATGGAAGTACAGAGTTATGTTATGTCAATCTCATGCAGCTTTTGAGCTCCTTCCAAATTGTATAGCAAAAAAACACAGTAATCCATTATCCGCATTATTATTTTTAATAATGTATTGGCTAAGTTAACTTGGTCTTTAGTTTTGTTGAAACCAAAGAATTGGAACCTGACTTTGAAAAGATTTTCAAATATTACTATTTTCTCAGAATCTGTACAATTTTAGTTACCTCTTTTGTGGGGCATCCTAGAGATTTTAATACCGAGCTCTGGTAGCATAGTGGCTAAGACACTTGCCTGCTAACCAGACGGCTGGCAGTTCAAACCCACCAGCCACTCCTAGGAAGGAAGGTTGGGCAATCCTACTTCCGTAGTGATACTGCCTCGGAAACCCAAGGAGGGGTCGCTATGAGTCGGGTTTGACTCGACGGCACATAACAACAACAATTATAAGATTCAGAATGCTCAGAAGTTGCCTTTTGTAAAGTGGGAAAGGATTAATAAGAAAGAATACATTTAGAAGTTGAAAATCCAGTTTGAAGACTCTGGTAGCGTAGTGCCTAAGGCCCTTGACTGCTGACCGGAAGGCTGGAGGTTCAAACCCACCAGCCACTCCTCGGAAGGAAGGTTGGGCAATCTACTTCTGTAGTGATACTGCCTCCGGAAACCCAAGGAGGGGTCGCTATGAGTTGGGTCTGACTCAATGGCCCATCACAACAACAAGCCAAAATCAAATGGCTTGATTGCTTTATACAGATCCGAGGATAACAAAATAAATTCAGCAAATTGGATTGGAGTTGAGATTGACTCATCTGACAGCAAACTCAAAGAACAAACAGAAGTTGGGCACAGGAGCCCATTCAGTATACCTGTTAGTTCAAGAGTTCCTTGAAATGATGCCAAATGAGGGTCTTAAATTGGTACTGAGAGGATGAGAAACACCTTTCAGTATCTTAAACAAACCAATGAAAAACCCCAAAAATCTAAAGTTACTGATCCTATGGAAAAACTAACCTAGTCAGTCAAACAGAGCACCCTGAGCATAGTAGACTACTGACTTTAGGGAATTATGGAGTTCAGAGATTGGCAGACTTTCAAAGGCTAAAGTGAGTTTACATCATTTGTAGAAACATAAGTCATCCAAGTAAGGTAGTTGTTGACTGGTTTGCATTCAGTCATGCATTCATTGAAGTGAGTCCATTCCTGATTGGCTGGCTTTCAGAAGTAAGAGGTTATCACTGATTGGTTGGTTTGCAGATGTATATTGTTGGTAGTTCTGGTAGTTACTTGTTACCATAACTATTGTTGTGCCATAGAGTGGATTCTGACTTAACAGACCCTACATGACACAGTGGAACTGATCCCATAGAATTTCCTAGGCTGTAATCTTTAAGGCAACAGATCTTTGGGTTCTTTTCTTTCATGGAGCCACTGGTAGGTTTGATCCTCACCACAAACCTTTCTGTTAGCAGCCGAGCACTTAATCATTGTGCCACTAGGGCTCCTTACCATGACTATAGAACTGTTTCTTCTTAATTTAGAACGTTTAAAACCTGTTTTGGTGGTTACCATGGCTACTGATCAATTAGGGTTTCTTTTTTGTTTGTTTAAAGAATGTGGGAATATTTATTATGTGATCTCCACTGCAGAAACTTGTAGGATCTTGATCTTCTCTTTCTATCCTTAGTACTTTGAAATTTCCTAATGATGATAAGCCTTGGTATGGCTTCTTTTTTATTTTTATTTTGTTTGGATTTCCCTATTTTATCATGCTGACCACTATAACTTTTTAGTCTGGTCACTCATAGTCTTTAGTTTACCTCTAATTCCAGAGCATTTTCAGGATTATTCAGGGGCACATAGATTCCATGTCTCTACCTCCCCCCCATTTCAGGAATACACATTTGGCGTCTCCTTTCTCTGCTAACTCACTTGTTTTCCTCTATTCCAGGAGTTGGCAAACTTTTTCTGCAAAATGCCAGATAGTAACTATCTTGGGCTTTTGGTCCATGTGATCCCTGTTCTAACTGCTTAATTCTGCCATTGTAACAAGAATGCAGCCGTAAACAGTATACAAATGAATGGATGTGGCTGTATTTCAGTAAGACTTTATGTACAAAAATAAGTAGTACATCAAATTTGTTTTCAGATCCCTGCCCTATCCTGTTGATCTTCATTAGATCATTAATTGAGTGAGGACATGGGTTTTTGTCTTTTTTCATTGGGTATATCCCTGACTCTTAGTAGGCACTCAGCTATTATTCAGGGTTACACATGGTTCATAGTATGTTTGTATTTGTTTCCTGTTCTAGTTTTGTGATGGCTTCTGAGGAAAGGGGTGGTGGGAGACATGTTTGTTACTGGCATCTTGTAACAATAAAATACTTCTTTGTGCTGTGTTATAAAGACCTCTACTAATAGCATCCTTCAGGAGATGTTTATATAATGTTCCAGATTAGCACAGTATAGTTAACAGTTTTAAATAAATCTGCTTTCTTGGGTATGTCCTATTTATATAAGAAGCACAGGAATACAAAGGTATTCCTTAAGAATTTATTCCTTTTTTTTTTTTTTTTTACGTATAGGTTTTAACAACAGGTTTGCACCATGCGTGAATATAAGTTAGTCGTTCTTGGCTCAGGAGGTGTTGGAAAGTCTGCTCTGGTAAGTTGTTCTCACTGTATTTAAGCTGTTCTCTCCAACACATGTTCTTTTGCTTTGGAGATTTAGGTTTTGATTACTAAGCTTCATTTGTTTATTAAGATGAAATTTCATAATGGCTTAAGAAGCATTATAGTATTTTTCTTGTAATTATACTCAATTTTCAGTTATATCTGGGTGTATCATTTTCTGGACATTAGTTCCAAACTGATGTAAGGTACAGCAGAATATAGTTTGGACTAAGCACAGAGGGTGAGAACATATAAATATGTGTCTCTTTCTATTTCAGAGTCAGATAGAAGTAAATTTTGGTCTTTTTCTTTGTGAGTGGGCTTGTATTATTTATTTCATGTTAGGAAATATCAAATAACATTTATTTTAAAAAGCTTTTCAAGTGTTAACTTTGTCTAGTTTTTCACATAATTTTAGTAGCCACATTTTCTGCATCAAGGAATACTATAGCAAGAAAAGACACAACTTGGAGGTGGGGGGTGGGGTAAGGGAGAAGCTTACAGGAGATAGCGTGAAATACTTGACAGTTTAGCAAAGCCCCACAAGAAGACCTCTTTCTCTCAAGTGACATAAAACGATCTCGGGACATAAAACCATCTCACTTGGCCACTCAAGAGTAGCCAGAGTAGCACAGAACTTGACATGCTTGGATCAAACTCTGAAGTACAGATTGACATGAGCTGCTTTTTCATTATAAATATATCCAAAGTAATAGGGAAATGTCTTGTATGTGCCCATGTGTGTATATATTCAATAGCTAGTTATATTCTAAATAAAATTCAAATTTGGCCCTTAAAACTGAAACAAAAGACATTTCTAAGAAAATTTTCTCACAAATGGATACATTCAAATGTATTACGTTTTTTTCATCAATGGTATAATCTCCAAAGTGAAATCAGTAGTTTGAATTTACAGATTTAGATTTGTTCTTATGTGGGTTTTTTTGTTGTTATTGTTTCTTAAGAAGTCTAATGGTGTGTTCATTTTTTTCAGACTGTGCAGTTTGTTCAAGGAATTTTTGTTGAAAAATATGATCCTACGATAGAAGATTCTTATAGAAAGGTATCTTATTTTAGAAGGTCATTTGCTTTTGATACACACATGTATATACATATGTGTGTGTGTGTGTATATACACACACACACACTTATTTTTAGCTTTATAATTACTGAATGTTATGTGTAAAATAGAATGAAGAGACAGATTTAATTTATAAAATTATTTAGGGAGCAAAGTTCACACTTGATTATTCCCTGGCATTGTGTGTTTGCCAGTTCTGGAGAATCTTAAGCACTCATATGCATGCACGTAGAGAATCTTAAGTTTATTGTCTAAAAATTATAATTTGACCTGTACACTTTAGAGTAAGGCTATCCATTGCCTAAGGCATTTGACTGCTAACCAGAAGGCTGGCAGTTCAAACCCACCAGCCACTCCTCGGAAGGAATATGGGGCAATCTACTTCTGTAGTGATACTGCCTTGGAAACCCAAGTAGGGGTCGCTATGAGTCAGGTCCAACTCAACGGCACATAACAACAATAGCAACATCCATTGCAAGTGGTAACCTTCATGTTTTTCCCTCTAGAGGGACTGAATAGTTCAGACTTCCTTCTTTTTAACCTAGAGATGTGAGTCCAGGGGTCTCCCCAACATTTTTACTTAGAATTCCTTGAGAAAGTGCCACTGCTAACAATAGAAAAGTAAATTTCCATGTCCTAACACAGCATGTCATGATAAAACTTAATATACAGATTTTTCAACTTAGTATGAAGAGAATTATCTTCTCATGTTTGCGTAGCAGCCAGCCTTGTCCCTGCTGTACAGATACTGTTTCTGTTTCTCTCACTACGTCCACAGTCATTAAAAAAAGAAAAAAAACTGGAAACCCTTTCCTATACCTCAGCTGTAAGGCAGTGTTACTCTTTTGTTTTCACATCTAAGTACCTTTTTTGTCTTTTTTTTTTTACCCTGGATAATATTAGACAAAATAGGTAACAGGGTTATATAATTCATTTGATAGGCTATGGCACTATTTGCTACCAGTAATGGTAGGGGCTATGGTTATCTAGAGAAATTGAAGTGTATCCTAAAGTATTATGGGGGAGTTGAGAAAGAAACATTTCTAATGTTGTTAGAATTATGTTTGAGCTGTTTTGAAATCATTTCCTTTCCAGCATTAAATGCTGAATGATTCATATTGAGTCAGTGTTATAGGTATCCTTGTGTTGAGAACAAGATTTTTATACCTGATACAATTTAGGGATCTGTGAACCTTGGTTATCTGGTTATTCTTAAGTATTGCCTGGGATTTCCTTGTAATGTAGCTATAATCTGTCTGTTTTTAAAATCATATTAGCTTTTGTGTATGCTAAGGTATTCTTGTGTACATAAAAACTAAATTATTTGAATTTTTTCCTCAGCAAGTTGAAGTAGATGCACAACAGTGTATGCTTGAAATCTTGGATACAGCAGGAACGGTATGTAATTAAGTACCAAAGTGTACGTATACTTTCTACAATACTGCCCTCACAAATGCTAATACTCCAAAAACCATGTATTCATTAAGCTTATTAAAAGTACTAGCATTAAATATGGAAACTGTTTATCTTATTCTCTTGAACTCTTACATTATTTTTTATATTGTACTTTCTAATTACAATAGGTCAGTTATTGAGGAATTATTTAGAATGTTAGAGTGAGAATTTTTTAAAGTTCACGAATACTTGTAAAGCAAGTTAGAATATTATATTGCTGTATTTCAAATAATGTGAAAAAGTCATTATTAAGAATTTTTATTTTTCAGTGTCTGTGTGAAGTATTTTGAATGGTATCTTTCCTCTTCAAAGTATTTATAGGCCAGCTAGACTTATAGGTATCTGAAGTTGAAGGGAAGATTTATTTCAGGTTTATGGTATTCATTCAGCTAATGTTTGAGTACCTGATATACCAGACATTGTGTTCTTACCCTCAAATGTTCACAATCTAGTGAAGGAGAAAAATTGTAGGAAATGACAAGATATGGGTAAGCACACTAATGGATTCCATAGAGCTAGAACATTAAGTAGCTAACCAAGTTGAGGGTACAATTTGGATGCCTTACACATTAAGAAATTTTTAAAAATTTACCATATGTAAGAGCTGCCTTTAAGTAACTTTTGGAGATGAGCTGTTTCTAATCTATATGAGTATATTTATTATACATAAATCTACTCTTGTCTGTTATTTTAAAATTAAAAAAACATATTTCTCGAAATACCAGTTTTTCAAATTATATTTTGCCATGGACTATAATCTTAAGAAACATTATATAATACTGTAACACTCTTCTTCATTGGGGTATAATTATAGACTACTTTGAAAATTGTCAAATTAAGTGTCAAAGCTTTTTTTTTTTCCCTCCAACTCTAGGAACAATTTACAGCAATGAGGGATTTGTACATGAAAAATGGACAAGGCTTTGCATTAGTTTATTCCATCACAGCACAGTCTACTTTTAATGATTTGCAAGATCTGAGAGAACAAATTCTTCGAGTTAAAGACACTGATGATGTAAGCTGACTTCCTAATATTTTTAAGCTCTTGTTTTGTAGTGGTATCCAATTTAACATTTTTTTCAAGTTTATGTATTTCTTGCTTTTCAAAAACTTTTTCTTGAAAGGCAAAAATACGTTTTAACACTCAGTACATGTTTTCAAATATATATATAATGTAGAAAGTGAAAAATTCCTTGCTCTGCCCTTATCCTGTATAAAATAAATTTTATACCCTATCTTTAAACCATATGTTATGTAAGGAGAGGGAAAGGTTGTAGAAGGCAAATGTTAATGGAGCAAATGATGTTCTGGCCAGTTTCTGGTAGAATCAAAAGTTTTTATTTTTTTTTAAACAAAAATCAGACATACATATGAACAGAACACATAACAAGCATCTATAACTTTGAAAGAGCGTAATAATTTTTAAAAAAAAGCAAAAACATATTGGAATCTAAACTTGGTTTAGATGTCCCTTCAGAGTGCATCATAATGGGGTTTAATCCCTATAGAAAAAATTATTTTAATTCTTTATCATGGTATATATAGCAATGGTTCTCAAAATTGATTTTGATCAGAATCACCTGTAAGGCCTATTCAAACACAGATTGTAGGCCCACACCCCCAGAGTTTCTGGCTTTAGTAAATCTGGGATAGGCCCAAAGAATTTCTGTTTCTAAGAAGCTTCCAGGTGGTGTTGATGCTGCTGGTTCTACTCATACTTTGAGAACCACTGTACTTCAGTTAAATTGTAGCAAATATTGTGAGAGCTGGGAGGATACCACCGTAGATCGTGCCATTTTCTAGACTTCAAAAACAAGAGAACCTTAGAACCCTACATATTTATAGCAACCTCATTTTTCAATTAATCTGTTTTCTATTATCTCTAGTAACTAATGTAGTTTCATTTAGTTATTTGTATTAAACAAGTACTTACTGAACACCTAATACACCTGGGAACTCTTGAAGATACTGGGAAGCAAAAAACTTTGGGACATGGTTCCTCCCTTTAAGGAACTCAAAAAGAGTAAAAATGAGCATAACAAGTATTTATAGAACAATAAAAAATCAATTTGGCCTGGAATAAATACAAAAAGCTCTATGAAAATGGTAGATCTTTGGTTTGTAAGTCAAAGTAAATCGAAAAATGTGTTGAAGTTATCTTAATATAAAAAGAGGAGGGAAGATAATTGGAAGAAAAAAATATAACTGATGAGCCAATATGCAAAGTTGAGAATGTGCAGAAACTGAGGATCAGCCTAGAAAATGGCTTGGCTGCTTGACTGGAACATAGAAACTTGTCTGTAGTTCATGACATTGCTTTCCAACTTGAGGGGAAAAAAGACAGTAAGTAGCATTTTATGTTCCTAAAACCTACTTCCTTTTGTCTGATTTCCTGTGTACTATTTAAGTGGGATCTTTTAATTTTATTTATTAAGGATATTTAATTCAGATAAGGTCTGCTTCTGCTGGACTTTATCTTGAGAAAGTTTTAGATGGTTTTTTCTTTATAGTTGATCATTTACGTGATCAAAGGACCACACTCCCCACTTGCTAGAAAAAATGATTATACTAAAAGCATTTTTGGAAGTGAAATTCATTGTAAGACTATAAAAGGATTAATCCTACAAGACATCAGCTACATGTTTAAAGTAATTTTTTTTTAAATGATGGGGATGTGTGTGTAAAACTTAGCAGTGTAGAACTGCTAAAATCTTTTACATCCAAGTAAGAAAACTCTCCCCTAAAAAAAAAAAAAAAGTATTGTTTTCCTACATGAACTTTTTTCCCAAAACAATGCTTTGGAAAGTCAAAATGGTTTATACTGGTTTTGCAGAATAAGTATTATTTTATCCTATAGTGCTCTTTTAAGTTGATTTAACTTTCTAGCTTTTTAAAATAAACTGTAGGAGCCTTCCAAATGTGTCCTTCTTGTGTTGTGAAATTGAGCTCCTTATGTCATAAATGCATGTTGACATACCAGGAAATTTGAAGTGAATTCACACTCCTCAAACATTCTAAATCTTGAAATATATTGGCTTTCAGAGTAACACTTCTTTATACTTCTTTTTAAATGATTTTGTGTTTTTGCTTACTGTAATTACTGTTAAGTACGAGTCAGGTCCGACTCGACGGCACATAACAACAACATTTTGACGTAATTTTAACTTTTTCTTTCCTTTTTTATAAGTAAGTCATAGTTTTCTAACGATATTGTGAAAGATTCTTACTTGTATCTGTATTGATTCATTGAGGACTTACAGTATGTTCGTTTTATTCAACATATAGGGATTTTCCTTTTTTTCCTCTTTTCTTTGGAGTTACATTTAACAGGAGATAATAAGGTAATGGAGACAATTGACAATATAATTAATATACCTGAAAATCAATACTTTTAATTGTGCTTAAGTCTTCTAAATCAACATAATTAAGGCTTTCATATTTAACTAAATTTTATTATTACTGACTCTTTTAGTTTTCTTTGGATTTGAATTTGTAAGACATATTTTTATTATTTTATTTTTACCCTCACAAATTTTATTTTAGGTTCCAATGATTCTGGTTGGTAATAAATGTGACTTAGAAGATGAAAGAGTTGTAGGAAAGGAACAAGGTCAAAATCTAGCACGGCAGTGGAACAACTGTGCATTCTTAGAATCTTCTGCAAAGTCAAAAATAAATGTTAATGAGGTATGGCCAAATGTTACACTTAAGATAACTCTGTTTGAAATTCAACATTCATAATTAGTGGGAAATAATATGTATGTATTAATTCAGCCACAAATTAATCTGTGCAAAAAAGTACTACGTTGATCTTACAGTCAAAAAAAATCTTACATTAAACATATGCATATAAATAAGCTATTTCAGTCTCTCTATTAAATGTTGGTATAGTAGAATTTACTTTGAAGAAAAGTTTATACAGAAATGACAAGGATATGGAAAATAATTAAAGTCTTTAGGTATATAAAGGATGTTATGTAAAAGATGGAGACAGATTCAGAAAGGCCTGCATCTTCATTGTTCTTGCCTTGAAAGGAGCTTAAAGTTATGTTGTATAGAAAAGTTTGAAGAATAAACAATTGGCTTTTTTGTATTTTGGTAAATATTCTAATTAAATTAAGATCTCTGAGGCTCCTTCACTAAGGTACTTATTTAAGGAGAAAAATTTTGACCCTTCAAAACAACAAACAAAAGAACTCAGGAATTTTAAGAGCACCTGGTTTTACTGTGTTCACTGATACCCATAGGTGAAAATAAAAAATCCTACTTTTTTCATTTTTGGGTTTTTTTTTTTGTTGTTGTTCTTGTTAAACTTTTAGTTTTTTCTCCTGTAAATTAAAAAATTAATATATTTGCAGATCTTTTATGACCTAGTGCGGCAAATTAACAGAAAAACTCCTGTGCCTGGGAAGGCCCGCAAAAAGTCATCATGTCAGCTGCTTTAATATACTGAACACATTGTAGCTCTGAGCCAGGTATGTTTATTGCCTTTCCTCTGACATTTAATCACTCACCCTAAGGGCACTCTATCCAGGAAACAACTGTAGAATTTTTGTTAGTTCTAAACTTGAAACGATTACTTCTTTTCTAAGATATTCATAAGTGAGTATGATATCCTATTACATCATTTGGCTGACATCATCAAAAGTGAGGTATTCCACATAAGTGAATATTCTAGATAAGTTCATTTAATAAATACTTAATGCCCAATAGGGCGCTGGTTGATACTGGCGTTAACAGTGGAGAACAGGACCAACCTTCTCTCCTAACCTTGTGAAGCTAATTAAAGTCTAGTGAAGAAGGTAGAGAAACAATTGGAAAATATGATAAATGCTATGATGAGATAAATCCAGGGTTGGTAGTAATAATAACATCATCTAACATTTAAGACATTTACCATAGTCCAGGTGCTCTTTTGAGTCACTGGGTGGCAAAAACGGTTAAGTTTTACCTATTTAAAAGGTTTTCAGTTTAGACCCACCTAGAGGAGCTCTGGTAGCATAGTGGCTAAGACACTTGCCTGCTAACCAGACGGCTGACGGTTCAAATCCACCAGCCACTCCTCGGAAGGAAGGTTGGGCAATCCTACTTCCGTAGTGATACTGCCTCAGAAACCCAAGGAGGGGTCGCTATGAGTCGGGTTTGACTTGACGGCACATAACAACAACAACAGAGGAGCTCTGGTAGTATAGTGCCTGAGGCGCTTGACTACTAACCAGAAGGCTGGCAGTTCAAACCCACCAGCCACTCCTCTGAAGGAAGACGGGGCAATCTACTTCCATAGTGGTACTGCCTCGGAAACCTAAGTACTCTCTACATATCCATTGAATTCTCACAACAACTCTATGATACTGGTATCATTACTATTCTTGTTGTAGGAATGAGAGAACTGAGGCACAGAAGGATTAAATTACTTCTTAAGGCCATATAATTAATAAATAACACAGCCAGAATTTGAATCCAGATAGGCTAGCTCCCAACTCCATGCTATACACTGTGGTATTGTGGCTATTCTAAGAGTGTATAACTGGGGCATCAGACTTGTCAGACATGGACTGAGGGCTGCGGGAAAGTCTGTCAGTAAGACATCCAAGCCAAGATCTATAAAACAAGTAGAAGTTAGCCCCTGAAGGGAAGGAACCACTAATACAAAAGCCCAGAGGTGAGACAGCAAAGGAAAACTGAGCACACAACATTTTCATATAGATTTTGAAAACAAATGAGTTTTAATACTTGTAAAGCATTAGATCAGTGCATAGTACATAATAAATGCTCAACTGTTAGCTCCTGCTGTTATGCCAAAGGTGAAGATTTCTTGCTCAGTTGTCATTAAACTATTATTTTCTGTACTCTTATCCTTGAGAACTGTTGAAGTCTGTGGCCTTGCTTCCCCCTACGTTAAATGGCCCTTGTTACTATATCACTCTGGTTCTGTATCTTTTAGAGTTTCTGTCCCTCTGTTTAAGGCTTTCTGTTTAGCAGTACATCCTCTCATTGCTGATACACTCATTCATGTCCATGTGCCCATTCTCAACAGCACACTTGTGCCTGAACTCAAAATACATCTGTTCTTTCTGATATGCTACATCTAGTCTGCTACAATTTAGGAAAACTAGATTACCAAGCTTATTGAGATCTCAGGCTCTAAATGAGGGCCTAAAGTTCAACACATTTGTGCAGATTATTTCAGCCACATCTATATTAACAACTGTTTCTGGAGCTTACAATAAGCCTGAACTCCAGGATTTAAAAAAAAAAAAAAAATCAATGAAAGGAAACTTTTTTTTAGCCAAGGTATATATGCAGAAAATCATCCAAACTACATAAGTAGTTAGCAGGCAGTGAATTTCGATTTTACTATATTTACTAATAATTTTTAACAGTTTAATTACATATGATTTAAGTATAATAACAGCTTTTCCTGATAGCCATCTTAAAGTTGATAGAATCTGTGTAAATCTAGAATTAGACAGTCTATAACTATCAGTTGTAAAGTTATAGCCATCTTGGTATAGACACTTATATTTTCTAGTTCCCAGAGCCAACTTCTTAGCTTGTTTTATTAAAAGAGTAAAGAAGAAAGGTCTTGATGTTCTGATACTAGAAACCCTGATGTACATTCTATATTTTTACAGTGTAATTCCAGGATTGTACTATGAGAGGTTCACCCGTTTTCTTAGTAAATATCTATCTGTCTTTTAGCCTATTCTAATAAGGATAAATTTTAATGGAGTTCCATTAATCTTTGGAAGGTAGTAATAGAAATTTACACAAAGGTACTTCCTTTTTTTATATCTAAAATTTTCATTTGCCCATAAAACAAAAACAGTCTTTCAGTGTGGCACTGGAAAAGATTATCTTTTTGGATTAAAATGTCTACTCATGCAGTATGTTGCTATGACCTGTGTTATATTGTCATTAATGTAATAATTAGGACAAGACTCTGTTACATTCAGTTCAGTGCTTTAAGACTTAATGTGTTCCCTTGGATCTTTAATGTGCTTTCTTCAACTCATTTTTTTTTTTTTTTAATTAATTGATTTTTTTCTGTTTGGCAGGTCTGAAGAACTGTTGCCCAATTCAACAGTGCCAGCATTCCAACTTTGTTAAACCTACAACATCTTAAATGGACTTTCCTGTGGTGGTACCCTTTAAGAGGCAGATGAAAGCTACTACATCAGTTTGCACATTCTGATCACTTTGCAGTATCACAAGAGAGATTTTTACTTATATAATAGTCCTAGAGTATGCAACTGGTAAAACCAGAGGCTACATCCAGTATTACTGCTAAGAGACATTCTTCATCCACCAATGTTGTACATGTATGAAAATGGTGTACTGTATACTTTAACATACCCCATACTTTGTATTGGAGAGTACAATAATGTAAATCCTAAAAGCACCACTATTTTAGCATAATAAAAGAAAGTCCAAAGAGCTCCTATATAGACTACTCCAGATAACTTTGCTTCTTTGATACTTGTAGCTTATTGTAATTTTTTTCTTTTTTTAAAGAAATTCAAGGTCATTATCATTGTATTGTACAAAATCAGCGCTTTGATTAACACAGCTATATAGTTTTTTTAATTTTTGAAAAACCTGTGGAGACAGTGATCTTGTCTTTAAAATATGATAGTCCTTTCAGTATGTCTTAGATTAAAGACGTTGCCTTTAATATCTGTTGGGAAGGAAATGTCCAGACTTTTCAAATCTCTTATTATGTGTTTCCTTTTTTGTTTACATAGGGAACAATGTTTATAGTTGTGTGTACAGTGGGGGTCTACAACAAGAAGTGTATATTTTCAAACAATTTTTTAATGATTTAACAATTTTTGTAAATCATTTTCAGGCTTCTGCAGCTGTAGATTCTCACTGTGAATCCCTTGCTTGCTCATGCATAAGTGTATTTGCAATACCAAATATACAGGTTTAGTATTTTTGCCTGTTAGTGATTGTTTCACATGTGTAACGTTTTGGTTGAGATGTTAAATGGTGGACGAGTACTGTGGATGTGAATGTGGGAAGTAATTTTAATCATGTGTAATTGGTCACAAGGCCTAAGTTGCAGTAACTATTGCTGTTTTATTTAACAATGCCTTGTTGCTTTGTATGCATTAACGTTTGGGTGTAAAGATTGTGTGTCTTTTCAACAGGGAGCCACAGTATTTAAATTGACCAACCTAATGTTACAACTACTTGGAGGTGGCCAAATGTAAACTAAAAGCCTTAATTAAAGTGGTGCAATTTTGTATAACTTAGCATCAGTAGTTCAATAAATTTGGATTGCCATGCAAGGGCTTGCATTATAATTACTTGCCACTTGAATGTTTTGTGTAATGTTTAGCAATGCTAGTAAATAAATATGGGTTTAACTTCTTTTTAAATGTAATAGGTGCATTTTACAGTGTGGTTTCATAATTTAACATTTTGGGCAAGCCAAACTTATTAATTACAGGAATGATGAGTGAAAGATGTTAGATTTTTTTCTAGTATTATTTGAAAATCAACATAACCACCTTTTGAACTTTTCCTTGGGAAAGAATTTTGTAAATCAAGCAGTATTACTTATGAGCAAATGCCTTCTGGGTAATGATCAATAGCTCTTTGGGGTGAAGTAGGAAGGATTTAAAATACTTTGACAGATATTAAAATGATGGATTTTTTTTTTTTAATGTGGGATGAAGTTATACTTAGAATACAAAAATCTTCAAATGAAGTGGACTTGGTACTACTTTCTTTCTAAGTAATAGATCTGTTTTTCTTGTCTTAGTCAATTGTTTTATGAAATTTATAAACAAACTCTTAAACTTTCTCTAAGTATATGCCAGTTGCTGAAGCGTATCAGCAATTAATTAGTGATACTATCTCATTTAGAGTCTGCTAATTCCCTAAATGGGAGCTCTGGTAGCATAGTGGCTAAGGCACTTGACTGCTAACCAGAAGGCTGGCGGTTCAAACCCCCCAGCCACTCCTCAGAAGGAAGATGGGGCAGTCTACTTCCGTAGTGATACTGCCTCGGAAACCCGAGGGGAAGGGTCGCTATGAGTTGGGACTGACTCGATGGCACATAGCAACAACAACAATTCCCTAAATACAGGCTGTTTGCATTGGACTTTGATTTTAAGACATTTTCACTTAAGAGGAAAAAAAGTCTTACTCCTTACATACATATTTTACTCACATGTATTTAAAGACCTGAAGAAAAATGTAATGTATGTCCTTCCAGAAGCCTGCTTAAATAAGAGACTTGTTTGCTGGAATTAGTTTTACTTAGCAGTCATTTGAGTGAAAAACGGTGGAGTTGTGGAGCTCTGGTAGCATAGTGGCTAAGGACTTGACTGCTAACCAAAGGCTGGCGGTTCAAACCCACCAGCCACTCCTCGGAAGGAAGGTTGGGCAATCCTACTTCTGTAGTGATACTGCCTCGGAAACCCAGGGAGGGGTCGCTATGAGTCAGGGCTGACTCAACGGGCAAATAACAACAACAACGTAACACTTTATTATGTCTTGTAAATCCATTTAAAGAGCCCTGATAGCACAACAGTTAAGCCCTCGGCTGCTAACTGAAGTTAGTGGTTCCAACCCTCCCAGCAGCTCAGGAGGAAAAAGACCTGGCATTCTGTTCCTGTAAAGATCACAACCTAGAAAATCCTATGGGGCAATTCTGCTCTGCCACATGGGGACACCATGAGTCAAAAATCACCTTGACAACACCTAACAATAATAATACATTCATTTGACTCTCTTTGAGTCCACTGCCATCATTCAGTTGTTTTTAATACTTGTTGACCTACCAGATACATAGAATACACAGTTCTAGACTCTTAAAAAAAGAAAACCCGCTCCAGTCTAGTTTATTCCAACTCATAGTGGTCCTATAGGACTCAGTAGAATTGTTTATAAAGCTGTAAATATTTACAGAAGCAGACTGCCATCTCTTTCTCCCACGGGTTCAAACCGTTGACCTTTTGGTTAGCAGCCAAATGCCTTAACCATTGTCCCACCATAGCTCTTTTCTAGGCTGTTAAGAATGGATAAATGTTCAGATATTTAAGTACTTACTGTGTCCAACGTTTTTCTAGGGATAAGGATACAGTAGCAACCAAGACCAACTAAGACCCTGCACACCTGGAATTTACAGTGCATTGCAGGGAGTGGCAGTCCTGTGCATTATGGAACATTTAGCATCATCCTTGCCCTCCATTCACTAAGATGCCAGTAACACTTCCTACCCCAAGCTATGGCAACCAAAAATGTCTGCAAACAATATTTACAAAAATGTCTATGAAACACCAAATCCACCGCGGTCAAGTTAATTCCGACTCACAGTGACCCTTTAGGAGGACAGAGTAGAATTGCCCCATAGTGTTTCTAAGGCTGTAAATCTTTACAGAAGCAGAGTGCCACGTCTTCCTGCCAAAGAGCAGCTGGTGAGTTCAAACTGCCAGCCTTTTGGTTAGCAGCCAAATGCTCTAAGCATATCACCAGACATTGTCAAATCCCCCTTGGGGGGAGAGTTTGAAGGGCAAAATCACTGTGGTTAGAAACTACTGATCTGGTGAGAAACAACACAAGTTTTAGATGAGCTTTAGTGATACAAATTGGACAGATTAATGTATCAAATATGGATGTGGGCTTTGGAACCAGAATTTGTGAGTTTCTGGTCCCAGTTTTGCCACATCTTAGCATGTGACCTTGGTTGCCTCATCTATAAAATGGGATTAATAATAGCACCTACTTTAAAAGAGTTAAAAAAGAGAAGTGAACGCCAGTACTAGTCTGAATATTTATATGAATATGTGATGGAAAAAGGATTGTGGTTTGCCAAAAAGCACTGTTTTCTTCCCTATTAAACAGTAGTTGCAGCTTGGAAATACATACCATGTAGGTGGCCTTTTCTGGTCCTTAGATGGAAAAATAATAAAACAGTTCAGCCATAAAGCCATGAGTTCATTTTCATGTTCCCAAGTAAACTTGGAAAAACTTGAATGTTTAGAAGATACTTCATTACATTTTTCTTAAAAAATAGTATAAATCCTGTTTGAAACTTCATATTAGTACAACTTTTTTCTTAAATGTAAATAAATATATAATGTACTGCATGTGGACTTCATAATTAGAAAGTTATGTACTGTTTATTTAATCATTTCTTAGATGTGGGATAGCAAAGTCAAAATTCATCACTGCAATATTTTTCACTGAGTTTGCTTTAATCTGTATTGTCATGAATTTCCAACCATTATTTTGTCTCCTTTCTTTTAAATCTTAGAAATGTGAAAAGGAGTTGTAGTATTTTATAATGAATACTATTCCTACTACCTTAGAAATTTTAAGGTGTTTGCCGGCTTTGTCTCTTAAATCAGTGAGCCATAACAAATTGTGATTTAAAGGACTCAAATTGAAATAAATCTGTTTTATAATTTGTTACAGTGCATCAGTACATCTCATATTTTAGGAGTGTGTGAGAGAATTGTGGTAGATTGAGAATAGAACTAAATATATATTCCCTTAAGTGACTACTAAGAGAAAATCCATGGGTTTTTTAAAGTATCCTCCATACTGCAAATATTTTGAACTTGGTCCCTTGAAACATCTTTGTTAGTGGCTAATAGTAATTGGCCTTAGGAATTACAGATTTTATCCAAAATTGGGGATATATACACCTGATTTTTGTTTTCTAAAATCAAATTATACATTCATCATTCAGTTCTCATATTGTGTGTTTATCATGTTGCAGGCACTATTCACAATGCTGAGGCTAGCAGGGATGTGCTTGCCTTGCCTGCACGGAGCTTGCATTCTAGTGTGGAAGACAGGAAGTTGGCAAATGAGCAAAGCTGTAGTTCTAACAAAATCTGTCAAAATTTCTGAAAGCTTTGTTTTGGGGACAGTAACGATTTTAGAAAAGCATGGTATCATTTTTTATATGTTTGAAAATTATAGACAGTTATTACTTTATTCTGATTTGTGTAAAAGGGTGTGGAGAGAATTTCCCTGTTTCATGATGAACCTAGTGTAACCTGATTTTAATATAGAATATAGATAATTACTCATATTCTGCATTTATGGCAAAATGTACATTTATTTCTGAAAACACAGATCTTACAGGGTTTTTATGTAAATAATATGTTCACCTAGGTTCAAAGTTAACAGCAGTTTTAAATAGAGATTAAAAGCCTTTCATGGTTTTGTCATCTGCCATTATTACCCTTAAGACTTCTTTTTATAGTGTGGTAGTTTAAGTCCCCTGTAGGCACTAATTTCAAAATAGGAAAATTTACTATCATATTTTTTCAATGTGCAGAGCATTGGGCTTGGGTCAGGGGGCAGGAAAGAGCAACTGATAAAAACCCAATCTTTGCTGGCAAAGGCCTTACATGCCAGTGTTGGGAAAGATCAAATAAAAGCTATCAAATGAACTAAATTTTAGTAACTTGTATCTAAGTGTAATAGTACAAATTGTATTTTCCTATAAACTATATGGACTATATTTCTGAGTTTTACAGATTAAAACTCACTGCCATCAAGTCGTTTCTGACTCATAGTGACCCCTCCTTGAGTTTCCGAGGTGTCTACGGAAGTAGATTGCCCAATCTTCCTTCCAAGGAGTGGCTGGTGGGTTTGAACCACCAGCCTTCTGGTTAGCAGTATTGCAATT